TCCTTCGTCCCGCTGCACGGTCGCGAGGCGAGGTCGAGTCGAAATTTTTTCCGCCGTGGAGCGCAGGCCTGCCACCCATCCGAACGCAAAAGTCGCCGGGCAGGAACCGGCAGGTGGCGCGACTGTGGCACAGGGGTGGGGCGAATATGGAGGCTGGCGCAAAACGCGAAAAAGTCCTCTTTAAAATGTTTGCACCCGTTCTCCGCGCGTTGCGTGAGCTAAACGAAAGGAAAATGTAAAAAAAGGTTCGTGGCCGGCAGTTGCAAAATTGCTGCAGAGCAAAGCCATTGATTCTTTTTTCAAAAACTGCAAATAAATGTCTCGTATACAACATTGCAATAAATAAAAAAATTTAACACAAATAATCTTTACAATAACATGTAGTATAAACAGTAAAACTCTCCCCAGAGAATGCAAAAAATTGGCCCGACGTAAACAGCTCATATGTAATGAGCGGCGGCTTCTTCCTTGGAGCCTTGTAGTCACACGACGTCGAATGAATGTGGTTTGCAGTCACCCATGGAACTGTGATGAATTCGGTCTATAGGCGCAATAAAGGAATAAGTTGAATAACAAAATAGAAATGAAATATTGATTTTTTCTGATATAATCGAATTTGTTTAATTGTTATGAATTTTTTACGAGTTTCTGGGTATCTAACGATTACACTACTCGATGCAGCAAAGTTTTGCTATAATTTCCTCCTAATTGGAAATTAGTAACAATACATTGCATCAGTGTACAAGTGAAGTAATCCATATAAATAAATGTCCTTTTGCAGATTGTTTTCCGGTTAAGCGGCAGTTTTCCACAGGTCAAAACAAGTTTTTATACTCTCAATTCAATGACAAAATAGTACATTATGAAACAATGATTTAAGTATGGGCATTAATACACGAGTGTGTTATTACGATACGAGCGAGTATCGTAAACTTCACACGAGAGTATAATACCCATTACATCGAGTTTAATACGGACATTTTTCTACGACATATAGAAACTTTTATACGTTAAACTGTTACACTGAATCGTTTCGTGGCAGTATTCAGTCTAGACCATCTAGCGAACAGACAGCATCCTATAAGCCCTGCCCAAGGTGGCTTTGGTTCACCAGTCTGACTACGAGGGAGTACAAAAGTTGAGGCAATAATTTCGACGTCACCATTTTGGCTTTTTCTCTCATAGGTGTTAACTCCTCCTCTGGTTAACTAGACATTTTTAACTAAAGAATTGTCGGAGTTTTAGAACAACCACTCGGCAGCAACATATAAGACAAAATGACTAACTGCTTCTGATCTTGACGTCAGACAGATGTTCCCTCCAAGTATCACTGCGCTAGTCAAATATTATCAAAGTGAAATTACGATCCAATATATTTTAAATATTTCAAACAAAAAAAAACAAATAATAATAGAAATTAAAACTTACAAGCATGATATAATATTAAATTCAATTGTAATGTACACAAACGAACGCAACATTAAATACTATTCCCAATGATTACGTAAGTGTCACTACTTGCTTTGTAAACTTTTCTGTGATTGGTCATGAACCTGTGTCATAATTAAATATTTATCGTAATGCGTATAATTATGCAAATGACTGAATTATACAAATGTCAAAAATTGAAGATATCTAATTTTTCAACACACTTGTCGCATTTTATTTGGCTAAGATGGTTGACGTTAGCTAGCCCATACCAATTATAAGGTAAATTATCTTCTGTTGCATTTTCACGAGTTAGATATGTTTTGAAATGAATGAAACCACTTTTGATGTTTATAATACACATTAAAACTTTTGATATTTCGTTACAATATATCGCTCATGGAGGCGAACTGACATTCAATGCCCACGAGTAATTACCTACTGCCTCGCGGTCAACTACTCGAAAACAAATCGAAATAAATTCTTGAAGTTTGGAGACCCCTGTTGAGTTCTGGCCGGTAATGCCACTGTTTCTTTTTTAACCAAGTTTTCTAGGTCGCATTTCTCGTTTTATCGTTCTAAAATATTCCGAGAATGAATAATATTCTGAGCACGTAACAATTTTGCTGTCCGTGTTCGAGTTTAAAAAATGAACAACACGTCCGTACGTGAAATGTATGCAACTGAGACATGCAAAAGATATGAGAAAAATTTCACCTAGAAGAAAATTCACAAATACAGAGAGAGTGTGTCTAAGAATTATTGTGGCGTTCTTGTCGCTGTATCTCGGGTCTACGAATGCAGTAAAAGAGAACGCTCTAGAAGAAAAGGAACACACAAATAATAGACATCAAAGGACCAATAGTAGATAGTGGTGTGTTTATTATATTCTCATTATCATAAATTAAATATATGATGTAGATTCATCATAATAATTTATTTCCGCCAAAGGCTTTTTCGTCCACATTGCAACCACCTTTAGTGCCATTCTGAGGCGACTCTAAACCTGTTTTAGACTAAGTAGTTTGGCAAATTATAATGATGAAATTACATCAGAAATTTCTATTTCTAAATGATCAAGCAGGAAATTTCAAACCACCATTCTTGCAACTTTTACTCCCTCATTAGAATGGACGTAAGCACAAAAACTCACTATTACCCCATTTTATTTAAAACAGAATGCGCATTATTCGTAATTCAATATTTCGCATCAATCACTAGGCAAAAATCCAATGCAAGAAACAACAAGTATTCTATTCACGCTAAAAAGTAAATGTCACCGTTTCCAAACGGTGAGCAATTACTGAAATATTTGAAATTTGGACGTCCTCGAATATTTATGAAAGATAATAGTTCAGTTTATTCACACCGCAAACTGTGAAGCACATTGCGAAGCTTTTCGATTCTCGTGGTTCGCTCAAGCGATTTTGACATTTGGATAAATATTACGTTCGTCTCATTTAACAAACACACACCGGTATCCCAATGGAACTCGGACTTAAAAATTCACAATAATTATGCAAAATTCTCAAACTCATTTCCATCTCAATTTCAATTTAATTTTTCTGTGTATTGCATTTTTTCTCCTTCATCAGCAGTACAGCGTGTGGTATGGAAATGACAGCAACATTTTAATGAAATACGTACGCAACGAAATCATAGTTTAACACTCGTACTAAATGTCGTCGCCGGGGTTTTCATATTATCAATCTAAATCTGTATTGATTTTAGCCTGGTAACACGTAATTCTATTGCTTTATAGGCAATAGTGCCAATTCAAAACATGTGCCAATTGTAATGCAGAAAAACCAAAATATCTTCGGTGTTAGTGTGACTTCGTTCAAAAGTAAGAATAATTGTTGTAAAACTGTTCAGAACGTTTACAATTATTGCATCTCATTTTCTGAAGGCTTTGCAATTAACAAGCCTCCATTCATCGGTAAGTTAAAATGCCAGACTTTTCATTTGGCCAACTGCAATATAAACACAAGACAAACAATTCGAAATTACACGTTTAATCAGAGGCGTAGAACTGTTTTGTCATCTATGTTTAAACACGTTTTCTGAGCATTTTATCTCATGAATATAATTCACTGACTTTTACAAAATGATAATCTGTCGTAGGAAAATACAATTCGACATGCAAACAATGATAAAAATTTATATTATACTCGAAAGTGACGTCAACAGAGAAACTGGAGGCATTAAGTAGCAAGAGCACCAACCCTTTTCATTTCATTAATTATGATTTATCTTTCTCTTATTCTAAAATTTTTTCTGAGAACTTCGTTTCACATGTATTTACGACACATATATTTTTCTTGTACTATATTACATGATCATAATACGAACTCAAAGTCCTGTGGCAAATCGTACACAAAATTTAAAACATATCAGAATACCGATTTATCAACTATACAAATTGCAACGGTCACATACCAATACAATTCCGGTACTAGGAGAACACCATGTGGAAGGGGACACGGACGGACTTCAGAATAAGTTATGTAATTGAAGAAACTTTTATATATTTGTAACTAATGCTACATGTATATTACAATAATTTTCTGCACGTTTTCTCTTAAAACAATTTGAACTAATGGTCACTCAGTGGTCGCAATTCGATCGTAATTCGTTAAATTTGCAATTTATTACATCATTGAGGTTCATTGGTCAAAGAGTGAACCTTTATAATTATAATTGTTATACGTATCTTATAAACTATCATTATAAATTTCGACCATTGTGTAACTACTTTTGATATCGCGACACGTTTTATTGACACCATACAAATCAAGGCCAAGGATTTGGTTGAGGCCGTCGCTAATCTAAAAAGAGTATTACAAGTAACGGCACAGATTAGGCTGCAGTTGAACTTTGAAAAGTATGATTTTATTAAAACTTCGGTTGAGTTTTATGTAGTACGTAGTAAATGGGATCATATGAAGCCTATCAAAGACACAAGGTTTCCTAAGATGTCCGCATATGGAATGAGCGATTTCTGAGTTGAGGCGGCGCGACGATACAACTTATATACTCTGGACATAATAAATGAGGTGGTAGACACGAGAGAGCGTGAATAGTGAAGACAAGAGACAGTAGCCATATTACTAGGGAGCCTCATGTTGTTGTTGAAGGTACTATATTACTGTTAGAATAAGCACTTTATGCGAGTTATATGGTGTTATATATACCTTCAAGTTATAAAATAAATCAAATAGTTCAAAACTACTCGCTTATTTTTATAAATCTGAGTACATAATTTGCTTCCAGTCCTCATTCTCTATCTAAACTTTAACTAAGTTTTATTTTTAACTATGTTTAACTTTAAAACTTGATATCTCACATTCCTCCGTGCGCGCAAAATACACGAAAATAGGTACAACATTTTCTCTTATGTATTAACAACACAAATTTCAATTTTTGGGATATTACAAGGGCATCTGTTGAACATATTCTGTACACGAACATGCTGTACTTTCCATTGTTTCTTTAAATTGACTTTGTCCTCGCCCACCGTCCTTCATATGCCACCATTCTCCCTACATCCCCTTCACGCCACTCATTCTCACCTAGCCATTGCACAGATATCGCCTTCGTCGAACTGTCCCTTCACTGTCTCGTTTACTGCAGTGTCAACAGCAATGTTGCCGATCCGGCGATCGCCCGACGTGCAATCGAGCGCACGCGGGTAATCAAGTCGCCAGCCGTTGGGAGCGCTGCTTGTCGCGGCGCGGGGGCGTGGCAGGGCGAGAGCGGCCGCGATGGATCTCTGTCACCCAGATATATTTCTCCTATTACAACAGACGAGATACAATTTTGTACTTGGCGCGATTAATTTTCTCTTCTCGGTCTTTTAAAAGCCGCATTGGCACTTGGATGTACGCTCATTTTTTTAAGGCACATTTTCGCTACAATTCGTTACATCGTACAAGGACGTCTGTTCTCTCGCATGAAAATCAAGTAATTATAGATTTGATTTATAGTACAAATAAAATATTTCCCTTCTAAAGAATATGGAAAATCAGAGCGCATACCGATCTGAATTTAAACGCTTTTTACTATACCCAACATACGAGTATTTAGAATAAGAAAATGTACTCTGTCCTTATAAAGTACTAAATTAAAGATCAAATATCCAAAAATACAATGAAATGCAGAAGAAATTGCTATGAGGGTGAGAGAGGTCGGAGAAATGAGATAATAGAACTAAGTAGCCAGAGTTAGTTTATCAGCCTTCTGAAATATTTTGTAGAGGTAATGAGCATTCGAGAATTTGAAAAGATACCAACTAACATTTCAATTGTTTCGAAAACATTTATGTCAAAGTTTTATCTCTATACCTATTCAGACATCTCTCTACCTACGGTAGTGATTCGTAAAGTTGCTATATTGCCTATAAATTGCAGCAGTAACCTTTCCTATTTACTTTTCATTCGCTTCGAATAAATTGATGTAAAAGTTTCTTCTCTGCACCTATTCAGACATCTCTCCTACTACAGTAATGATTCTTACAGTATCTAATAAATTGCAAAAGAATCATTTTCTACTTAAGAAAAAGTAAATCAGATTAACAAATCATTTTCTTCGATTTTATCATTTGGAGCCTTGCCATTTCAAGTAGTCATATTACGACAGACTTAGACGACAGGCGTGTATGTACGAGTAACTGCAAAGTGAAGTTGTGGAAGTATTGTTGATTTTTTCCAAATTTTCTTGAAGTAGAAGCAAAAGTACTGTACAGACAAAACTAATTGCACAAACAGTATACATTGAAATTTTCTGTGACTTCTGAATACAAGTTAATGCGTTGAATGATTATTTTGTAGTAATTACATGGTTATATTTACCTCAACTTGAGGATCATCAGAAGAGATCATCTTCCGATGTTAGTCCTGTCAAGGACGGCGTCATTTTCAGAGCCTTTTACACATTCCAAGAGAGACGTGAAGAGATTCATGACGTGGACCAGAAGCATAGTAACTACAGTGTGCAGACAACCTGCGACACATTACACATTACTTTGCTCTGATGATTATTACTGTAACAATATACCTGAGTCGCAGTTCTTTAGCGGTGCTTTATTATTCTGGCATTCAAAAACAGAGAATGCGTGTTCAATCACGGCTGAGAGCGTTCGGTTTTGGAAAAACACAAAAGTAAGCTTACTGGCGTCGTATGCAGTGTTTTTCTTTTACAATTTTCAACGCGCTTATCACAATTGTCTCAAGATGATTTATGTTTAATTGAGAGCTCACTATTTGAACTTCCGTATTTTATTAATTTTATTTGATTTCAATATTTTATTATTCAAGAGACTCATTTTCTTTGTGAATAAGTCAAAGAGTGGTGGGAATATAATATTTGTTCAATCATTTTTCTTTTGAATCTAAAACGTGTCTGTACTATACACTGCGTCCAGGAAAAACATCTATACCATTTTGTCTATACCTTGCCATGAAAATAAAGGCGTCTGAAAGGGTGCAGACAGCCAGAGGAGGCACAGGCAGCGGAGAAAAGGAGTCGAGGAAGGTAGGAGCTCATGCAGCATTCATAAGTCTGGCAGCGAGAGAAGCCAGGCTTAGCGGGGGAAAAAATGCTTCTCGAATGCCTTATGATGACAACGAGCCAGCGCTGTTTCCATGAAGTAAACACCTTGGGGTCGAGAACTTTGCAACGACCCGATGGCAGATACAGTAGAAACTGCAATAAGAATTCTCCTTGCTGTTAGGGCCTTTATTCTGGGAAAATTGTGCTAAAGTTTCAATCGACACATCTTGACCTTCATCTGATAATTTTGTAATAATGAATATAAAATGATTTATTTTGCTTGTATTGACTCTTCATCAACAGGTTCGTAACTAAATGGGAAACAAAATATGCCTTCTCCTTTTTTCGGAAATGTATGGTTACTTCTAAAAATATATCATATGTTATAATACTACTTCTAGACTACACACCGACGGGAGCTGATTCATGACGCATATCTAAAGATGTAGAGGCGCCAGATGGTACAACAAGATGATCCCAAAATTCATAGAATATAAAACTTGGCGTTTCTTAGTGCGAGAAAAGCCTGCTTTCTTTCTCCTCAAATGATGAATTCAGTTTGACAGATCACCGTACAATAGGTCAGCAGCGCGGGTGAACGAAGTATTTATGAAGCTTAGAAAACAGTGCCTCAAACTGCCGCAATACGGAATTGAAGTGTCTTCAAACATATTGAAACATTCATATTACTCCATATTGCAGAATGTGTTTCACTGAATGTTAGGAACTAAAAGTGAAAGTTAATATTTAAGTTCGACCAGCAGACTGACTAATTGCAGATAGGTGAGAGAAATGTTCTAAAGTTTACTATCATTTACAGAATATTCATAGCATTTATTGTCTACAGCAAATGCTATTATCCCGACAAACCCCAAAACAAAAACGCTAACGACGAATAAGCAAAAATTAAATTAATATTTACTTTTTTTAAAATCATTAGTCATGCATTAAGATGTGAGGTGTTGTTTTAATTTGATCTTTATCTGACATTATTGAAACGGATGTGTGATTATGATATTTTACAATAATGTTGACTGATTATAATTCATTAATAGTCTTAAAATTGTTAGACTTTCTATTGCTAAATATTACTTAAATTTTACTTATTCGTGTTTAATTAAATTTCTATATTAAAAGTATAAAGGTAAAAAGAATTTTAATTAAGTTATGATACTGTTCTTCATGTTAAGTTATTTGTCGTGTTCTTTGATACATTGATAGTGAAAGAGCTTACTAAATTAAGATGTTATTGATATGGAAAATGAAAATTGTGTCCAAGAACCCATGGGCTTCATGTAAATTAATCATGTTACTTGCTCCAAATTGTTCAAAGAAAATTGCAAAATTTGGAGTAGGTTCTATTGTTCTTTAATATTCATACAATAATATTTCCGTTCTATTATTACGAAACCGAAAAATGAAGAAAATTTCAAAAAAAAATTATTTTGGTTGGCGATAGATGGCAGCTGACAAGAGTGTGTGACAAGTTCATATAGCCGAGACCAAAGGAAATAGAACACTAATAGGGATATTCTGTGCCATTCTAGGGCACCACTACTTAGAATATACAATGATAATGCAATCACAAACCCTGCAACCCATTCTCATTCTTCACGTGGCAATGTGTCATTTGTCTTCCGAGCTTGAGATATTGCGTGATAAAAGAAACGGACATAACCTACGAAAGGTGACCTCAAATATGCCCGTGAGACTATATCGACCCCTTCGGAAATAGAACGAAATAAAGAAGCACAGTGTCTGAACTGGGTCGCCGATGCGGGCGGAGATAGAGGGAAGTCACGTGGGCTGAGAAGCAGAGACATCTGCCGCAGAAGACGGTGATTCCTATCAGGAGATATATTTGGCCGCAATGGCTTCACCGGTGTTACGCTTCTTGCAGGTCTCGCTCACTGCTTGGGGCTCTCGGGAAACCTTTCCAACTTCGATGCCCCTCACATGAACTTCTTGACCGCCAATTTATATGATTTTATTAAAATGCGGTAGCATTAGATATACTGTGTATACCATCCAAATTTTTTAATGCTGCTTCTTCGATGTTTTTCCAGTTTTTCATCTGGCAAAGTCTGCATTTTTATATTGTACCTAATTTTACTGAAAAGTTTGAAATGGGAACAAAGAGGTTTGCGATATATTTATTGCAATCAAAGGTGATATTCATACGTATCACTCACACAGAATGAAATAACACATGCACACCCATATGCTTTCAATGAGTGAATAATTTCATCCCACCAAATTCTGAATATTCCAATCGATAAAATATCAATCATAGATTTTGTATGTTGGGTATACATATTAAAAAAATAAGATTTCTCTGATAAAAAATGTGTGTGTTGAAGTAAGTAGTTGCAAAACTGCACGCGACTTGTTTGACGAAAGGACCCTATGTTCTATTCCCATGGTGGTGGATTTTGACTTAATACCTACGTCCCATGACGCCCGATTGATAATTCCAGAACCTACTCAGATTCGTCGCTTTCCTGATTCCTCTGACCCATTTCAAGTGGATTCCCAAGCAGCACCTAGACACCAATCAAGGATTGCCTGAAAGGTTCCTTTCACCCTTTGCTTATTACCACCTAAGGGTTTTTTCAAGGCGAAGGATTGAACCTCCATCCTGATTTTACCCACTCCTTATGACCTAATTCTCGTAATGCTCTGAGTTCATGGGTTCATGTCAAACCATAGCTTGAATTGAGCTTCTACGCCTGAGGAAGAAGAAGAGAAAGAAGAAGAAGAAGAAGAAGAAGAAGAAGAAGAAAAGGAAGAGGAGGAAGAAGAAAAGGAAGAGGAGGAAGAAGAAAAGGAAGAGGAGGAAGAAGAAAAGGAAGAGGAGGAAGGAGAAGAAGAGGAGAGAGAAGAAGAGGAGGAAGGCGAATAACAGGATAAAGAAGAAGAAAAAGGAAGAAAAGGAAAGAAAGAAGAGAAGAAAAGGGAAGAAAAGGGAAGAAAAGGAAAGAAAGAAGAGAAGAAAAAGGAAGAAAAGGAAAGAAAGAAGAGTAGAAAAAGGACGAATAAGGAGAGAAAGAAGAAGAAGAGGGGGAATAAGGAAAGAAAGAATAAGAGGAAGAAGAAGTGGAGGAAGGAGAAGAAGGCGAGAAGGAGAAGAAGAGAAGGAAAATATGAAGACGAGAAGGAGGAAGAAGATCCTCTTCCAGAGTTATTAGAGGGCTTCTCCACCGAAATCGGCGAAAACCAAGC